TCCTCTTTAGTTTGAGGAGATCTTTTTTGGTGCTCTTCACTGTCCTCTCAACCATGCTTTCAACATCACTTTTCCACAAAGATCTCCCATGTTGTTAAGTTCTAAGTTTCCTATGGGTCTCTCCTGATCAGCTATGGAGGAAGAAGGGTGAGGTTTCCATCAGTACCACAGTTCCTAAAATTTTGCTTCCAAAATTTCTCTACAAAGCATGTGTGTTGCTTGATCAAGAACCTGACCTAAAATGGCCCTCATGTCAGGTAAAATGGGGGTACCTGTCACTTGCCCTGATGATGGATTTTACCGATAAATTTGGTTTTCTTTCCTGGTTTGGGTTGCAGTGCTGGCCTGGAAGATGGAGATGTCATCATAGCGATAAACGGAAAACCAGTCACCTCAACCCATGATGTGACAGAGGCTGTTCGAAACAACCGTACCCTGGCAGTAGTAGTGAGACGAGGAAATGAAGACGTCATTTTGACAGTAGCTCCAGACGAAATCGATTAAAGTTGACCTTCTCTAACCCAACGGGTGTTGGAATCTTCAGTTGCTGTCAATAAAAAAAACCTAGGAAAAAATCTATAGTTTACAGAGAGTTCTTTTTTCTGAATGTGTATATCAGGGGTCTTCAAACTTGGCCCTTTTATGACTTGTGGACTTCAACTCCCAGAATTCCTCAGCCAGGCACCCGTACCACAGGTACAATGGGGAAAATAGGGCAACATAACATCTATTGCGCAACATTCCAGAAATGGGCTGCAGTACCAAGGAAAGCCAACAGGACGCTATGTCCATTATCCATAATGCATTTTCCTATATTCTGCCTTAAGCACCCTACAGTTGCTTCAACGCCTTGGAAATTTACAGAAGCATTTGTAATTATATTTTTTACTTTCGTTTAGGTCAGTGGTGGCGAACCTATGACACGGGTGCCAGAGGCGGCATTCAGAGCTCTCTCTGTGGGCACGCGCGCCGTCGCCCCAGTCCTGGGCCTTCAGCTGGGTTTAATAAAACCTTTTCGCTTTAGGCCTCCACCGCCGTGTGCAAAAAAAAAAAAAAAGGTTCAATCAGTCAATTTCAACTTCTCGTAGAAAAAAAAAGATCTTGCAAAGTTGGAATTGATTGATTGAACTTTTTAGTCCCACCCAGTCTGCTGTTACCACCGCAGACACGCCCAGCCAATGGGCCACACCCACCCCAATTGGCCACACCCAGCCAATGGGCCACACCCAGCCAATGGGCCACACCCACCCTGCACCCGACGATGCATAAGTGGGTTTTGGGTTGCAGTTTGGGCACTTGGTCTCTAAAAGGTTTGCCATCACTGGTTTAGATGGAAAGATTTACCTGGAAACCAATTGGAGTCAGGATGAGTTGTAGCAATACTATTCAGCTCGTTTCACCCTACATTCTTAGCCCTTGAGCTCCTATGGAGCCTCAGGAAGGCAGTAATGCTATGGAAAATTTGTATTCCCATATTTTCCCTATTATTATTATTATTATTACTTTAATTTATACCCCGCCCTTCTCCCGAGGGACTCAGAGTCTACAATACCCAAAGTAGCCACAAGGGGCAGTATGTCCTGCCTGCTGAACAGATTGTCAAATCTGCCATTTTGAGAATACGAGTAACCCTTCTCAGCAGCCTGGACCCAGATAAGCAGAAATTAAGAGCAGAAAAACAACCAAGCAGAAAACAATATCCTAATCAACGTTGTGGGGTGTGGTACAGAGTCACAGGAGGGAGGTGGTCTTTCCCAAAGAGCAAAGAAACAAGTCATCGTGGAATCCTTGGTATGCAGGAAGAGAGCCAAGGCTTTCACAGCTTATATCTAATAGTTATTCAGATTTGTGCTTTAGTCTGGCAAGATTCCTGTCTTTAGGCGAGCAAAAATAAAGAATGAAGTAACTCCTCGTGTAGTCCTTGGTTCCTTGCGCCTGACTCCAAGGAACTAACAAAGAGAAAAGTATACCTCCACCCGCATTGGCAAGGCCCACTACTGTATATAAACAGGGAGCAACCCCCACACTTACTAGCACAGATAACATTACCTACTTGGGTAATGAAATGTCTACAAGCAACAATCAAGTTCAGAGGATAGCAAGGACTCCATATTTCAAATCTTGAGCTATGCACTTTCTCTTCTAGTGGAATCAGTGACATATCATGATTTCAATGGGGACAATAAGGCAATGTAATGGAATATATAGAAAACACTGCCTCCTAGTGGCTCAATGAGTTGTTGCAGCTCTGTGGGTTAAATAAGAAAATATAATGGAGTGTACAATATAGGAAATACTGACCAAGAGTATTTACAGGCTCTACGGGGGAAAATAATGCAATACAGTTATTTGTAAAAATAATAAAGGTGGGATAGAAATATATAAAAATAAAGGCATGTATAGAAAATACTGCCTCCCAGTGGGTCAATCAGGTATTGCAGATTGTTTACATTCCATTATATTGCCATTAAGAGTCAATAATTCTTCACTAACCCACCAGTTGGGCATTATTTCCTATGTATATTAAATTATATGAACCTGTTTAACCCAGTGAGCCTACCGTACCCCACTGAGACAGCAGAGGGAATATATTCATCCTACTGAATGCAAACCCATGCCATCAGTATCGAAACGATAGGCATGACATGTTTTCTTCTAGTTCTTTCCTGTTTGCCTTTTTAAACTGAGAAAATAGAACGTGGTGCCCGAGGCATCCACATTTCAAACAAAGGCGTACTGTATGTGCACATCTATCGAGCGCTGGATCTGAAACGATGAACAAATGTTTGCATAAGGCACGGCACGGTTGTGACAGAGCATGAAAAAAGGTAATAAAAGTTCCCAGATCAGAATTTCTCAACCTTAACAACTTTAAGAGGCATGGACTTCAACTTCAATTCACTTGAATCACATGACATACTAAGACCACAAGGCAGTCATATTCATTTGCCATTTAAGGTTACAATGTGTGTGGCTTACGTGTGTTAGGAGCACAAATAGTATACTACTGTACCATAGGAGGGAGCTATTGACCTGCTGTCTGCTCCACTTTGGTGCCAGCAGAACGTTGAGCTAAGAGGTATTGCAGTTTAATGCTCCCAGAATGATGAATTGACACACAAGATGAAAGAGTCTCTATGATTAACTCATCCTGTTTTCTTGCCTTGGAGTACAGACACAGAATAACATCTTAAACTATAAGCTGGCAGTTGCCAGTTGAACGTTGAGAACAACTGCTTAGCAGGAGTTTGACAGTGGCTGTAATGATTAAGAGAGATATTGAGTAGATAAATTCAGCAGATATATTCAAACAATGGTTGAATGTATGGGGCTGCTTAAATTGCTCCTGAACTGAGCAGTTGTTTAGATTTGATGGCCTAAAATTCCCTTTTACAATTCAGCTCTATGTGATNNNCAGTTGAACGTTGAGAACAACTGCTTAGCAGGAGTTTGACAGTGGCTGTAATGATTAAGAGAGATATTGAGTAGATAAATTCAGCAGATATATTCAAACAATGGTTGAATGTATGGGGCTGCTTAAATTGCTCCTGAACTGAGCAGTTGTTTAGATTTGATGGCCTAAAATTCCCTTTTACAATTCAGCTCTATGTGATCTGAGATGATAGATAGATAGATAGATAGATAGATAGATAGATAGATAGATAGATAGATAGATAGATAGATAGATAGATAGATGGATGGATGGATGGATGGATGGATGGATGGATGGATGGATGGATGGATGGATGGATGGATGGATGGATGGATGGATGGATGGATGTTGTTAGTTGCGAAGTCGTGTCCGACCCATCGTGACCCCATGGACAACGTTCCTCCAGGTCTTCCTGTCCTTTACCATCTTTTGGAGTCCATTTAAGCTCACGCCTCCTGCTTCAGTGACTCCATCCAGCCACCTCATTCTCTGTCGTCCCCTTCTTCTATTGCCCTCAATCTTTCCCAGTATTAGGCCCTTCTCCAGTGAGTCCTTCCTTCTCATTAGGTGGCCAAAGTACTTGAGTTTCAACTTCAGGATCTGGCCTTCTAAAGAGCAGTCGGGGTTGATCTCTTCTAGGACTGACCAGTTTGATCGCCTTGCAGTCCAAGGGACTCGCAGGAGTCTTCTCCAGTACCAGAGTTCAAAGGCCTCCATTCTTTGTCACTCAGCCTTTCTTATGGTCCAACTTTCACATCCATACATTGCAACTGGGAAAACCATGGCCTTGACTATACGCACTTTTGTTGGCAGGGTGATGTCTCTGCTATTTAGTATGTTGTCTAGATTTGCGATAGCTTTCCTCCCCAGGAGCAAGTGTCTTTTAATTTCTTGGCTGCAGTCTCCATCTGCGGTGATATGGATGGATGGATGGATGGATGGATGGATGGATGGATAGATGATAGATAGATAGATAGATAGATAGATAGATAGATAGATAGATAGATAGATAGATAGATAGATAGAAGAGAAAGAGAGAGATGATAGGGAGGGAGGGAGAGAAAATGTGTGAGAGAAAGATACTTAGAGTTTGGTCTTGTGGTTAAGGCACAGAGTAGAAACCAGAACACTGAATTCTAGTTCTGCCTTAGGCATAAAAGCTACCTGGGTGGCTTTGGGCCAATCACCAGGAAACTGTGAGTTCACCTGAGGCAGGAAAATTGGCTGAGTGACTTTAGGCCAATCTCTCTCTCTCTCTCTCTCTCTCTCTCTCTCTCTCTCTCTCTCTCTCTCTCTCTCTCTCTCTCTCTCTCTCTCTCTCTCTCTCAGCCCAACCCATCTCACAGGATGTTGCCGTGGAGAAAATAAGAGGAGGAAGGAATATGTTTGGCACCTTGAGTTATTTATAAAAACAATAAAGGCAAGATAATAAAGAAAGAAATGATGTCCCTTAATTGAAAAATGAAGCCGGTAACCAAGCATCTATACCTGCTTGACCACTGCCAAGTTCCACACACCTGCATACAGTACTAGTTGCCCTATTCTACGATAAGCAACCTGACCATCAAACATGGATATACTTTCAAACCATCAGTTCTGCATCCCTTCTCTAAGAACGAATATCAGAAAATATATCTTGATACAGTTAAGTCAGGGGTAGGCAACCTTGGCTCTTTTATGACACGTGGACTTCAACTCCCAGAATTCCTGAGCCAGCCATGCTGAGGGGAAAGGGAGAGGTTTCCAAGCTGAGCCATGTTGGCTCAGGAATTCTGGGAGTTGAAGTCCACAAGTCATAAAAGAGCCAAGGTTGCCTACCCCTGGCCTAAGTCCTCCTGTTCTAAGCGGTGAGCCTCCTAGACCAGGGGTAGGCAACCTTGGCTCTTTTATGACTGGTGAACTTCAACTCCCAGAATTCCTGAGCCAGCCATGCTGAGGGGAAAGGGAGAGGTTTCCAAGCTGAGCCATGCTGGCTCAGGAATTCTGGGAGTTGAAGTCCATGAGTCATGAGGGGGCCATAGTTCCCTCATGCTGGCTCAGGAATTCTGGGAGTTGAAGTCCATGAGTCATG